TTATGAGACCTGTCTGGAGGAGACCCAGATTTCAATCATGGGCTGCTGGAACTTCTCCCTGCACCCCCCCACCGTCTCCTGGGCACAGGGGGTGGTGGCACCAGCGGTGGCTCCAGCGCCAGCCCCACCACGAGGATCATCACCGATAACAGCCCTTGGTGGCTGTTATCAGTCAGCCCTGCCAGCTGGCCCAGCTAATCTCGCTTTAATTCTTGCACATGTCCGTGTCCCCCGTGGGATTTAATGTTTCTGGGGAGCCTCGAGCCCCCAGCAGCTCCCTGCACCCCAAAACCTCATTGAGCCCTGGAGTTTTCCCCCATCCCCGATCCGCTGAAGAGCGAGGGGTCCTGGAAGGGTTAAACCCAGCGGGCTGAAGGTCATTGCTAAGCAAGGTTGGGGTAATTCGGAGTAAATGTGTCACCTGAGGGAGCCCTGGGGACATAAATGAGATTATCCCGGCCAGACTGACCCTCCCACCCCATCCGCCAGCGCCCACCATTTAATTAACATTTAAATGGACTTTGCCGCGATGAGCAGCGCTGGCCAGGCTGCCCCAATTCCGTTCATCCCCAGCTCGGGGGGATCCTTCCCCTTGTCCCAATCGCGATTTCCAGAGCCAAACCCAGCGGCCGGAGGTCCCGGCCGTGGCCGCTTTCCAGACAGCGCTTTGAAGCCGCTTGTTTTCTAATCAGCGCTGAACAAACAAAGCGCTGATTGAGCCTAATGGGCCCTTTAATCAGGGAGCCGGGTGCTGACACTAGATTACAGTGTTTATAATTTACAGCTAATCTTCTGGGCGAAGGAACAAAAAAAAAAAAAAAAAAAAAGGAATAAGAAAAGCAGGGGAAGGAGGGATCGGAGGAACTTGGAGAACAGGGAGCTGCTCACCGTTCACCACCGTTCTCCGGGTGATCTCCCACAGCACCAGCCCGTAGGCCCAGATATCTGTTTTCTTGTAGGACTCGAAGCAGTCGGTGCGGATCTGCTCGCTCAGCACCTCGGGGGCCATGTAGCGCTTGGTGCCCACGCGGGGGTTGTTGCCGATGTCCAGGTAATCGCTGCCCTGGGAGTGCATCACGGCCAGCCCTGCGGGAACAGGGCACCGAGGCGTTTAGGGTGATTTTTAAGGTCATTAATTCAGCTGTGAAATGCTGGGATAACGGCCCTGAGCAGTCCATGGGGCTCAACATCCCTCTGGTCCCAAAACCCCAGGATGCCACATCCTTGTGGCACCATCACCCTGGGGCATCTCATCCCTGGAGTGTTACATCTCCGGGGTTCCACATTCCTGGAGCATCTCATCCCTGGAATGTTACATCTCAGCAGTTCCACATTCTTGGAGCATCACATCTGTGGGGTTCCACAGCCCCAGAGCTCCATGTTCCCTACATGGGGTTCTACATCTCTGGAGTACCACATCCCTGGGGTATCTCATCCCCAGGGCACCTCATCAGTGGGGTACCTCATCCCTGGGGTATCTCATCCTTGGATTCCTCATCCCCAGGGTACCTCATCCCCGGGGTATTTAATCCCTGGGGTACCACATCCCCAGAGTACCTCATCCCTGGGGTATTTAATCCCTGGAGTATTTAATCCCTGGGGTATTTAATCCCTGGGGTACCACATCCCCAGAGTACCTCATCCCTGGGGTACCTCATCCCTGGGGTACCTCATTCTTGGGGTATCACATCCCTGGGGTATCACATCACTGGAGTATCACATCCCTGGGGTACCCCAT